TTCGACCTGGATAAGCATTTTTATTTTTTTCTTCTATATTGAATTATCAAATTGTTTCAAAAGTTATATTTAGCACTTTTTCTTAACTATATATTACATATATACGTAAGTGAAAGTAAAAAGCCAACAGCAGTGGAATGGGTATGTACTGGATTCCCTGCTCAATCCGCATGGGCACTAATCGATGGAGCTCATTGCTTATTCAGAGTGAATGCTCAAATGTATATATGGCCCAAGGAAGACACATACATTGATTAACTTTCATATATATGGGCTAGACACATTGAGTCACTGAAACTCAACTAGTTTTAGAGTTAAAATTTATCAAATATTTCTGCCAAGCAGAAATCAGCCACAGTATATCCTTTCTGCTTGAACTCGTTGCAATCAGTTTCATCCAGATAAAGTTTTGTACTGAAATGATCTCCACACAACAGAAAGTGCATTTTTTCATATTTGCATCATAAATTCCAAATGTGGTATCAATACACATTTGTAACTTAATAAATTTGATAATTATAAATAATTATGTTATTCAACGTGAGTCAGAAAATTTATTTATTTATTTAACATCTATAGTTTGAGTACTGTTAAATTAAAAAGAGTATATTCTTATACCTTGTTTGTTTGTAAGTACTAAAACAAATGTTAGGGCTTCTTCTTCTGTTTCCTCATTGTGCCTTTCAGCATGGAGGTGCCTCAGTCAGCCCGTTCTCTGGCCAGTGCCTTCATGGCACTCAGTCCGCATCCTCTTTGCTGTCCCAACTTAGAGATGTGGTCCGTCCACTTTAGCCTAGGTCTGTCCTGGGGATGTCTTCCAGTTGGCCTAGCTTCAAAGAACTTCCTTGGATCTCAATCTTCGGTCATTCCGCAAAAGAGGACAAACCATTTCAGCTTCCTCCTTTCAACCACTTCTTTTACAGCTGAAACTCTCAGGTTCTCTCTCGTATTCTCTGATTCCTAACCAGATCCCTTCTAGTTCGGCCAGTTGCTCTCCTCAGCTATATCATTTCTGTGGCTGTTACTAGGTTCCAGTGCTTGTGTAGTCTGACCCAACTTTAGCTTCCATAGAGAAGATTAGGTATGGATATGGCCTAGAAAATGTGCAGCTTCACGTTTTTGTCCACTTCCCTCTTTCCAGCAATTATGTTGCATAATTGGTAGAAGACATTATTTGCCTCTTTGGTCCGGTTGGAATGAATATTTCCATTCCTGCTGATGACTGTACCTAAGTAGGTATATTCCTTAATTTTCTCTAAGGTTTCTCCTCTGCATCGGATCTCCAAATCTTCTTCATTTCGTCTTATACACATTACCTGGCTCTTACTATGATGCATTGAGCATCATTCCCTTTCTATCCAGCTCAGTTTCTCATTCTATGATTGCTTGCTGCAGGTTTTCTTTTGAATCTGTTATGAGAACAATGTCATCTACAAAAACCATAGACTGAACAAGGATTGTGCTCATATTCCACTTCCCAATAACTAGCCGTGCTGTCCTCTTGCATATTTTTAGGATTTCATCCATCAATATCAATAATATAGCTGTCCATATTTCTTTTCTAGGGACCAAATCATTCATGTTTTGCTCCTGAGAGAGAATATGTGGTCCTGGGTCTGGTGATGCGGTCTCAATACTGCCGCCTTCTCTTCTTCAAGGTTTTCTTCTACGATTTCCCTTAACTTTCATTCAAGGATGGATGTGTAGAGCTTGTAACCACTTGTCAGAGACATATAGGTCTGAATGTTAGGTCATGATTGGAAGATTTCTAAACCACACAGCCTTATGTCTCTTAAATGCAGGCAAAGAAAAAAAAACTGTCAACGTTTCAGCATTTCAGGCATCATCAGGACAGAAAAGAACAGCAAATCAAGATGACTTGATGACATCCAATCACACACTCAAAGTACAAGTATCCGGTTGGATGCCATGGAGTGATGTTTGATAAGCTGTTCTTTTCTGTCCTGATGATGCCTGAAACGGCAAACTTTTTTTTTTCTTTGCTTGCGTTTCGTAGACAGAAGGCTATGTGGTTTGGAAGTTTTCCAATCATGACCTAACATTTATGTTGTCACTTGTTAAGTGTGTTGTTAATTTATATTAACTTAAAATAAAACTCATTTATGCATATACACTAAGATTTGTTTTACGAAATAAAATTTCAACTCATTCAGAATGGAATTAAAACTGGCACACCTTCTTATACATATTAAGATTAAAACTCGAATTCGAAAGGAATAGAATATTTTTAAAAAAAGTCTAATAAAATGCATTAAGTTTAAAAACTTATATAATCCCTTTACATAAGTTCACTGCCAAGCACATTTCACAGCAATTATATAGGCTGTTTTGAATAAGTTAAGAAAAAAAAGTCCGCAATTTACATTATATTTTCAACCAACAAAGTTCTTATGAAGGCACGATATATCTCCTTATTTCCATTAGTAACTGTAATTATGATTTTTACATTAGTTGTATTCCTACATTTTGTCTAAGAACATTGGTAAATAAATTAACAGATAAAAATTTGTTTTCGCCATTCAAAATATGACAACTTTCATTATGGTAGACTATCTGGTTCATAAAAAAGGTTCTATTAAGTGCATAATAATTTCAGGCATTATAAACTCATAGTTAACAAAAAAACTAGTAAATTTTTGTGGGATCATAACTTGTCATTTGCAAAAACGTTAACTACTTAATTTGAGTAGGACTTACTATTATCAACATAAAAGCTATGAAATCTAAGATATAAAATCAATATTAAGCTAAAAGAAAATAAAGGATAATCTTGTTGCATTCTTCATTTTAAAAAAAAATTACAAATTCACGACTATTATTATTAAAACTTTTTTATTTCAATTTGAGAAAAATTACATTTAAGTACTATCACATGTTGTGAGATTTCTTTGAAAATTTTCAAAGATAGCACCTTTCTGTAGTCAGGATATCATCTTGGTTTAGAAAACACCTTGTTTTATGCTTACTTCCATGTTTTGCTTTTTTAATCACTTTCCTCACAACTCAGGTAATGTAAGACAAAACATGTATAGCATATCATTATCATAATTTTAATTCTGTTTTATTTGAATATAACCACAAATACCAGAGTTAGACATTCTCAACAAACTTGCTCTAAGTCTGAAAGTAAATTCAAAATGGACAAAAAAAGTGTTGAATCTCCATTAGTGGTTAAGTCAACTGTGCACATCATTATTTAACAAATAATTGGCTTTATAGGTTTCAGAAACTAAAACACAGAAATAAAGAACATTAACAAATAGGCACAACTTTCTGGTAACCCCAAACAATAAAAATAAATAAATAAATAAAAATAGTTGAAACTCAATTGAAGGATTATACCTTCAGAGTGAGCATTTTTTCCATAAACTAATAGTACATAACAATCAAAAGACCAGTAAATTTTACAGCTTATTAATTAATTGAGTTTTTAAACTTATACTTAATTTTTATTATGAAATAAAAATGTTTACAGTAAAATGTTGAATTACAAACAATGTTTATATTTACCATGCTTATTAAATAAAAAATGACATTTCTGTACAAGTAAAAATAAATCGTTGAAAACCATTTTCCTTAACAGTAATTTAAAAATAATAAGTTAAAATGAAAAAATATATTTTGGCAGTAGGTAATTCAACAGAAGCAGGATGAAAGTAAAATAAACCAAACCATATTGGATATGTACATCACTAAAATTTATAAGTATAACTATGTATGTTAAGTTGCATTAATAGAACTTATGAAGGTTATCTCGAAGTAAGAAGACAGGTTCAAAGGGGAAAAGCTATACGCTTATGACTCTTAACACATAATCTGTACAGCCTTTCCCTTCTCAACCTACCTATCTTAAGTTCTGTCAAATGAAAGAAAATTTGCACATAAAAACCACTAATCAGTTTGAAAAACTTGACAAACAATATTAGTGTTACGAATTTGGAATATGATGAGGTACTAATTAAGAAATAAAACAACTTAAAATGAATTTTTGAGAAAAAACAAAAACTGATAAACAATGTAGGAATTATAAATTTTTAACAAAAAAAAAAAAAAATAATTTTAAATTAAACAAGTGAAATCTAACAATATGGGAGAAATTACAAATATTTTAACTAACTTATAAATCAACTTACGAACATTTTGAAGTATGTTATCATAGAATTACTGAGCACGCAAAATAGTACATAAGTCTATCTTATCATCACTAATTAATATAAATTATCAAATAAATTTCAAACAAATGAAAATAAAATACCAAAATCAATTGTACAGTAAAATAATAATAATAAAACAGTCACATACAAACAGAAAACAACTACTGAAAACTGCTTACATAAAAATTCTTTGTTAGTTTTAGGTATATGTGGTTCTCTTAACATCAAAATTTATTCTATAACTATATCTCTTACTATACACCTTATGTAAACAAAAACACATAACCAAGCAGGTTATAGTCAAATAAAAATTACAAAACACGAAAGTAAATCTAAATAAAAATAAAATATTCTGACAATAACTAATTATAAAATTACAAAATCAAATTAGAGGCAGATATAATGAAATCAAATAATTAACATAAAACTGTTGTATTACTAAATGAATGCTATTATTAACCTAATTCATCTGTCAATAAAATATGTAAGAGTAGTGTTACTCTTCAATAATACTCTTTAAACCAATTGTCTATTTATAAACACAACTGAGTATGAAGTAGGAACTTGTGCATAATTACTGAAAGGTGACTAGGTAAAAACAATACACAACAAAACCCATGAGCCAGAAAATAAACACAATAGAAAATTAAATAACAAATATCCTTAGATCAAAACCAAATCATCTTCGGGAAAATGTTAGCAAAATGCAAACAGATTAAAGGGTGTCTATTAAGTGCTAAATGAAAAATAAAAAAATATGGACAAAAATAGATGTAATAAGGTCAAAATATTTATATAATAAATTAAATGGACTCAATACTTTACCAAGTTTTAAAGGCCATGATGTATCATAAGTTAATAGGCTCTGGAAGCCTATTAGAAACAGCTTTATTGACCAGAGTTAATTGCTATATGAAAGTCCTCATTCCAAATATAAATGTAGTGAACTGCCAACACTTTTTCGACCACTTCACTTTAATAACTTGATATTTAATAAATAAATAAATATCACACGTTCAACGTAAACCAATAGATAAAGTAGTCATTAACAATAATTACTCAGTGGCCTAGAGAACAATGAACTCTGCGAACGCCATTCGAAATGTCCTCTTTCGGCTTGGGTGAACAGATCCGCTCAATACTTCCGCGATAAAACGTAGGTCTACGCCAGTAGTATGGTCTTACCATCCGCAAAACTGAAAGCTTTTGACAGGCGACATGCAATATTTTTAAAATTACTCACTCATTTAAAATAGGAAGAAGAAACTAACAATTGCAAAATTATCAAAATCCTCCTTCCCACATCTTACGTACAATATCGTGTAAAACACTGGAATTACTTTAAGAGCTGCAATCTAATTGGTTAGGATAATACCTTCTACCAATGTTGCTCCTGCTTGGTGTAACCCTCAACCAATCAGATTCCTTCTTACTACAAAGGATTAAAAAACAAGATGTAGACCTGACCAATGAAATAGCTTAGCAGCTTGTAGCACCTATGGGCGGGTAAATGGAACCAATTCAAACCAACTAAACTTGAATGGTTGTATCAATTCAAAGGAATTTAAAAGAAATAGATTTTGAAAATAAAATATTGCTTAGTTCATTAACTAAAGAAATTGTATAAAAATAATTCTTTGGAAATATGAAATAGTATATCTTTTAATTAAAAGAACAGATTTATTTTCATAAAAGTCATATTGCAGTACATATAAAACAAACACCTAAGAAATAAATAAGTAGTAATGATTTCATATAGAATATCATTTGCAAAATGTAATAATGCAAAATATATATATATTAGCTCATATTACATGAATACCATGTTTCAATATTAATAATTCTTCCAAAAATCTTCTATTAATTGTCAATTCTTTATTTCGAATAATAATGTTGGGGGAATATAAATGTAAAAACATAATCATTTTTTTAGAGGCTGTTTATATATAAAATAAGAAAGGAAGAGAAAAAACAATTTATGATCTCTGAATCAGGAAAACATTGATGGCTTGATTGTTTATTTCTATTTTAGATACTCAAGACCTGGTATTTGGAGTAGTGGTGTAAATAACACAAATGCAACCAGTGCTTGTGGGCAGTTCAATGAATGAATGGATTTACTGGAAAATATGAAAATTATTTATTTATTTATGGCAAGAGTATTTATCCTCTGTATAGCATGTGTATGAGTGACTTTGAAAAATTCTAACAAGTTAGGAGGTAAAGAAAAGCTTATGTGGTAAGGAATAAATTAAAAGGAGTAAAATTTATCCCTGGACATTTAGTCTCTGAAGAAAAATCTAAACGTACAACAAATCCAGTTATATTTGTCTGGCATAAAATTATAAAATTAAAATAAAAGTCAAACAAAATAAAATAATGAATTATTTATTCATATTTGCATTTGAAAGCAACATAAATGATTATACCAAAACAATAAGTTGGTAACACGAATATATACATATGAAATTATTTTTATATATATCTAGTATATTGACAGTTGAAATAATTTGTGTTTAAATGAAGTTAAAAATGAGGTTTTACATATGGAGGTGGGTAAGGAATTTCTAAACAAGTTAGCATGCATGATTAAGGATTTTCTAAAGTTAGTAATTCTGTGAGAAGGGGTTATTATATAATCTACATGTTCATGGGCAGAGATTTCACATTGAAAGTCCACTCAGTCACATCAGAGAAGCAAGTAATGAACAAATCAAAAATGTAAAAGGTTTATTGGGATTAAAGGATTGGTAAAGGTACAGATACAGAAAATGTTACCACAGGAAAACAGAATGAAGGCACTGTAATTTGGCATACCAACTAGAGATGTGTGAATGCCTGGACCCTCCAATCAATAGAACTATTAATTAAACTAATGTAAATATTAATTAAACCAAAAGGAAGTATGGAATAAATTGTGAGTTTTAGCACATCATAAGAAAGATTGTGTAAAGATCCATATGATAATATTGTATTTGTAAATAAGGAATATGACATTTTTGAGAAGAAGTGTCTATGAATCTCATAGTTAAGATCATATTCAGGAGATTCACGGCAAAAGGTGTTTGGTGAATTCATTGGCTTTATCTTAGTCTGATGCTGTCCAGGAACCATCAGGTCGAAGGAGAGAATGAGAAATATGTGGAGATTTTAGGATTTTTTTTAGTGATCTTACAGAAGGAGGTGCCATGAAGGAAATTCAGGAGGGAATTGCAGGATTGGAATCTGGTGGAGGACAACTGCTTTGTTTACTGTAATAATTACACATGCCAACAAGAGAAACAAAATATTTTGGTATCTAATACTTTGGAAGTTATTATTATTTGGGGCACTGATTCTAAATATGAAAACAGTTTTTTTTTCTATCAGATTTACTTTTTGAGATAAGTGTGGAAAAAAAATGTAAAACCACCTGCTTGACTCTGAGCCACTTCCTTTCTGCTTGACCAAGCTGGGAATCCCATAATTCATTTTAATGCTCCAATTAAATTTGAGTTCAGTATATTTGAGTCAGTATAAAATCGAAATAGATAAAAAATGAGTTCAAGTAGAAATTGTATTAATCATCCTAAAGTGTTTTGCTACAAATGCGGAGAATACACGCTGAAACATAATAGAAAGTGTAACCATCTGTTAATACGCTCGTAAAGAGATGGGGAAGGAACCCCGAATAATAAACCAAACATGAGGAGTCACATAAAACTGGCAAGCTTTACAATGCAGAGGGTCGAATCCCGGACCACTGAGATGCCGGTTCTCAGGTGTCGTGATCCAGCGACCGTAGTGCTGCAGTAGTGGATCACTAGGCTAATGTAGTTATTAATACTTAAAGTGAAGAAAGGAGAAGGAAATTATGGAAACCGTTTAGAGACAAAGATGAATACCAATAACAAGATTAATGCGGAAATTATTTAAATCCGTATGCTTTACGATCAATTGACAAGAATAGATGAAAACCCATAACGGTTATTAGCTGGAAACAGTTGCGGAACTCAGACCAAATCGAGTTTGCGAACACTCTAAGAGAAGTATCGAGTAATAATATCAGGTACTCAACGGGAGACCGACGAGGAGAGAAAGACAACTAACGGCCAGGACTGAAATGATGTTTCGGCAACAGATGAAATTAATCCAAGAAATGAGATTGGTAATCAATGGCTAATAGTGAGCAGAAGATATGAACAAGACCTGCTCGCCTAGATGCTTTGATGGTCACGGCAAAGAAGAGCTCAACGTGCGTAGATGTTCTGCAAACAATAAACAGCTATCCTGATCTTCAAGACATAGGCGATAACGTTCGACAAATACGAAAGTGTACCATCGGTAGTCTCCTTCTGGTGTTGAATAGAAAAGCACAGGAAAAGACGAAACAAATTCTTATTGCAACAGCAGAGAAAATGTCTGACAAAGTGGAGGTCACGTGCACGGGAGACTCTGTTGCTTTTGAACTGAATGAACTTGATGAATTAACTGTGGCTGAAGAGATGCATAAAGCGCATCGAAATCAAATTGAAGGAGCGAAAAACATTGATATTTCCGTTGTACAGTTACTCCGCAAAGCATACGGTGATATACACATAGCAGTAGTTGTATTGTCTACGGAACTAGCAAGAAAAAGCTATAGAAAATGGGAGTATTCGAGTTGGTTGGCTAAGTAGCGGGGTAAGGGAAAAAAATTCTCCCCAGAGATGTTTTCGATGCTTTAACTATTACAATAGATCCGACAGAACAAAAGTCTGTTTGCGATGTGGCGAAGCAGGTCATCCCGAAATATCAATATGAATACCCCGAAAACATGGAGGGGTAGATTATTACCTCACCCAACTACTTACAGGGCATGGTTGCTTCAGAGCCTACTTAACCCGCTTCAAAAGAGAGGATAAATCATCGTGTTCAACTTTTGATCCCTTAGATGAAACAGTTGTTCCGTGGTCTGACATCTGTAGTCCGTGTACTACAGACCCCTTTTTTATCGAGTTATTAACATCTGCCTGAAACTTCGCAAATAGTTTCATCTCATTGTAACCTACAAATATTTTATTTACTAAAATTCTTGGAATTGGGGCGTTTTCAATCAGAAGGGGGACAAACTTTGTCTATTTAATGAGGTACTAAAAACTCGTAAATACCCATTTGCTTTCTACTTTGGTTGTAAGATAATTTCATCATCAAATCAATAAAAAAGGTGGTCCACAAAAATCCTCCAGGAATCTCACACCGTTATGACTTTTTGTTGGTTGCACTTCATCTTGTGAAAGATTTTTCCTCTACCCAGAAATAAAAAAATCTGGTGCGCCCAACACACAACTTTCACTTACCGCTCAACTTAAATTAGAAATTATTTTTGGGCCATGTTAGGCTATTATAAAATTTTTGAATTGCATTTTTAACTGAGCTAAAGCTAAAACATTACAGCTAATAAATCATAAATACCATTAAAATAACAAAAGTTTTATTTATTATATCATCGGTTGATTATGGATTGTACGATACGTAGATTATGGATTGCACGATTCATTGATTATGGATTGTATGAATATTACTAATTAAACTATTATTTTCCATTGCAAAGTTTACTAAAACGGAATTAAGAGATTTGCATTGTCTGTCATAGACAGGTCAAAAGTTGTCACACTAATCGTAAGTGAATACTGTTGCAATATCACAAAGGGAAGATTCATCAAATTATTCACTAATTTAATTTTCTAAAAAGTTACATGACAATATTTCGGAATAAATGGACGTTGATACCAAATTATTTAAATATAATATCAGATCTAGAATTATTAAACTACAGTAAATGTATTTATGGTTGTGAACAGAGGCTTTATACATCCAAGAAATGATTATATATTTTACTTCTTCTTGCACACAAGTACAATGAAATAGTTTTTTAAACAATGGAATTGCCTTGATTAGGTGGATTTTAAATATTTTTTCAAACTTAAAAATATATTAAAAATTTACATTTAGTTAGTAAATTACATTTAATTTCGTTGGAAACATGTGATTAACGTTAAATAATATTGGTTTTCAAAAATTATTACCTATAATATTTTTGCCACTCTCGGTTACCTTCTAAAACTTTCTATATTAGATATTGTTTTTTATAAAATTGTCTGCTTTCCAACGATATATTATACATATATCTTCTGACTAGTAATTTCGGAGATTCATTTTTGACATGGATAAGCATTTTTATTTTTTTATCCTTTATTCAATTATCAAATTCGTTCAATAGTTATATTTAGCATTTTTTTTTTGTGACTCTGAATAATGTGTGATGATTAAGTTTTTAATATAAACCATATTAAAGATACTTTAGAGGAAGACGTATGTAAACATTGGGCATTTAAGCCCTGTAAAGTGCCATCAACGGGGATAAGAAGTAATTGATATTAAATACCACTTAATTATACAATGATACACCGAGTTTAATCAAAATCGTTAGAGCCGATTTTGAGAAAATGTGTTTCAGCATTGATATAAAGTAGCCCTTCCGGTTAGCCGATTTTAAGGAAAAATTTGCTATCACATCTAAGGCATATACCTATCTTAAATACGTTATATCAGTTTCGTACGACTTTTCATTTTTGAGCTAGACTGCTAACATACACACACACACAGACCAATTTTCGGGACTTGGTTACTTGGACTCAAGGTACCCCAAAACTAGTATTTCTGTTGAAAACTCAGATTCAAAAATTTTCTCTATCGCGATACTTACCCTCACTATATATTACATTTATAGGTAAGTGAAAGTAAACATCTGGTGTGTCCACTCACCAGAAAAGTGAACCGAAAACCACTACATATTTCGGAAAAGTTTTTATATCTTTACATATGTTCATAAAGAAACAAAAAAAAAAAATAATGAGTTAGATTTATTTTCCTGAAAATTGATCAAAGAAAAGATTTGAGTACGATTTATTTGATAAACTAAAGCATTGTAAACCGGCTTAAGGATAGATCAGTGTAAAAATCTCAATACTCTCCAATATTGATTATCAAACTTAAAAAGAAAAAACTTTTTGTCATAGCCTAATTTTGTCAAACAATAATTTCTGTTAAAAGTAGAGGAAATAGTGAAGCTTGTGTGATGCGGGCAACAGATTTTCTTACTTCCACTTAGTCATCTTTTTTCTCTCATTTATCCCTTTCTGACACCAGGACATGAACCCGTAATCTTACATTGGAAATTGAATAGCTGTAATTTCGTTAATACTTGTCCAAAATGAACAATGACAATTATTAAAACATTATAGGAAAGTTTCATCAAAATCGTTAGAGCCATTTTCGTGCAAAAGTCTATAGTAAAACATGTTTTTCATTTATTGCGCGCAAGCTATTGAGGCATAAGTAGTCAAAATCCTACAAAATCAAAACAGAAGCAACAAAATCGGTTCAGTAGTCCCCGAGAAAATCTTGGCACAGACAGACAGACTAATGGCTAAATGTGTTTTTCGGACTCAGGGTGCTCTGAAACGAAGAGATCCGTCGAAAACCGCATATCGGAAATTTGACCCGATCGCTATACTTTTCTTACCCAGTATAGGTAGGAAAGTAAAAACAAACACACCGACCATTTATGATGAAGAGTAAACTTTAACATTCTCGGGACTAACGACGCCGGTTCGTATCCATCTTGAGCGTTGGATCTTTAGAACCACTAGCGGATCCAGGATTTAATTTTGGGGGGGAGGGCTTCAGCCCGAAAGCTTATTTTTTCATAAAAATAACAATAATTACTTTGGTAAATGAGAAAGAAACTAACTACCTATATGAACTGGTGTTTAAGCGATTCCTAAAGCCCTTTTAAATGTAATTACACGAATAATTATACTTTAAGAGATAATTGTTTAATATTTTTTTCAATAAAACATGGTTATGTTTTACCATTTTGGAGGGGGGGGCTTCAGCCCGAAAGCCCCCCCCCCGTAGATCCGCCCGTGTTTAGAACAACCCCCGTTTGCCAGATGGCGAGGTTGAGGTATCGATAATAAAAAAAAAAAAAAAAAAAAAAAAAAAAAAAAAAAAAAAAAAAAAAAAATATATATATATATATATATATATATATATATATATATACATATAAATACAGAATTACTCCTTGTAAGAAGTTTATATCTCATTGATTTCTAATGATACAATCCCGCTGAATTTTCTTAACAGACGCGATAAATGAAATAATAAGTTTTTTAGATATTTTATTTATTTACACGTTAAATTTTTATCATGAAGAAATTCAACGTTATCATCCACAAAAGACTGTAGACCCCATCAATGAATGAATGCATGAGTTTTACTTTTGATGCTGTTGCTTTAAACGTGTTAGGCAAGAAGAAATTCATTTATAATGTTTTTATATTTTATTTTAATGTCTAATACATGATTTTAAATCCATAATAATTCTCTTAGAAAACAGTTTAACACAGAATATTTACTACTTGGTTTAATTGAGAACATTTCGCATTAGTAGAATTGAGTGACTTGTTTTAGAAATTATATAAGACTATTGTAGTAGATCGAATACTTTATATTGACTTTATCTGTTTTATGTCTTTCTCCTGGTTCTCTGTTTTGAAACTTATACTTCGAAAATTCATAGCCACATCGAAACGTGCTTCTCCCCCTCAAAAATTCATAGTCCAGTCAAAATACACCCCTCTCAAACATTTTGATAGCGCAACTAAAGCCATGAAACCCCCTTCTGGGCACCTATTCATGCCGCTCCACGCGAAACTGTGGAATGCGCTCATCACTTGCATAAGCCATAGTGTCGAAGGCCCCTTTCAATATACCTTCTCCGTAAAGGAGAATGTATATCTATATCGAGCATCATCCTATCTATACCTGAAGACGTGCCACGCCACATATGGGTTTTCGATTCTCGATGTGTGTGTATACGTGTGCGCCTGCGCGAGTGTTTGCATAAACAGTCTAGCTCAAAAACGAAAAAGTCATAAGATATTGAAATTACGTATTAAGGTAGGTACATGCCTGGTATGTTACGGCAGCTTTTCCGCTATAATGGACTAACCGGAAGTGGGGCTTCATATCATTGATCTCACACATTTTTACAATTTTATCAAAAACGGCTCCAGCGATTTTCATTAAATTCCTTATACTAGTATATCATTAAGTTGCTTTTAGTATTAGGCAGAGGCCGGTATAGCAGAGTGGTTAGCGCCCTATACTAGTAAAAGAAAGATCATAGGATCGAATCCCAATACGGCTGGTCCCCGGGGGAAGTTAGACCATTACCCTCTTAATTGGGGAGGCCTACAGGTGTAATACTTGTAAAAACAGGCTATACAATAGCAACAATAGTATTAGGCAGGTATTATTCTCATTGGAAAATCTGAAGTGCCTTAGATTTCTAAGCTTCCTCTTTCTTGCTCTCAAAACTTCACATTAAATCAAATCAGGAATAAAACATGGTTAATGTAGACTATGAAAGAATTTGATAATGAATTAAAGGGGAAATAACCGATGTGTCAAGAGTGGCCACAGCCATACCTTACTAAAGCCAAATGTTGGAGGACCTTGCAGGTTGTTGATATCAAGTGTGTTTGATAGCAATGGATGTTTACATGCCCTGCATCCATTCTGCTTTACGCAGACGGTATATGGAAAGAGGACTTGGACACTATGACTT